ATGTTTTATACCGAAAGATACCGTTTCTGCAAGCCCAGCTTCGAAGCAGGCGTAAACTGCTGCTAAATAAGTACAAAAATAATATGCTTGTGCATGTTTGCTTAAAATAAAATATAACTTAACGGTGCCTTGAAAATCAAGGGTCACAATGCATTCTACTTTATTTGCCACGTTCTAAAGTGTACATTTTGCAAGTTAACAGAAAGGGACTTAGAATTATGCTGTGCGATAAGTCTACTTAACTAATCTTTGCTGATTAAAAATACCTCTCAGGTGTTCGATTATTATTTCACGATGAGGGCACATCTACTGCATGTGGCACACTTATGTCGGCTGTTCTGCTTTGCCAACCACTGCGCCCACGCACAAATTAGGTTGTCTTGACACCATTCTCTCAGCGGGATGTGATATGCGGAAACAGATGATAGGGTAAATGCAGCCCAAGCCGTCCTTTGCTGTAAACATATTCACTCGAGTGTCACCGCGGCGCTGCGCCCACCTCGAGGGGCCTAGTTGCATGCGTCAGTCGAGCAATCAGATTTGCATATCAACGCAATAGTTTATTTGTAGTTCTCTGGCGGCTTTAATGGGACCGATTGAAGCGAATATGAGCCTTCTAGGCAGCCGTTAAGATGTAGAAGATGCGATCGCTGGAACAAGAATTTTATTTGTTTGACGTTTAGGATTCTGTCTGTGCATATATAACCCCAATCGGTGCATGTCTCACACTATTATACGGTTATCTATGATTAAGAATTCTTGGCAGCATCCGAAACATCAGGCAGATAAAATTCATGCTCCAGCGGTCTCATCTTCTACTTCTTAAATGGGACCACGTGGAATTGAAGGTCTTGAGGTCAGTCTTTCAATTTCTAAACTTTTTGCGCATACAAGCATCTGAAAATGGAAGTCATTTCTTGCAATGTGAGCAATTTTTGGCCATGTAAATGGCTCCCATCTTACCTTCCCAGGTACAGGTTTATTAACGGCATTTTTCTTTTACAACTCTTGACATGGCTCACTACAATGCATTACTCTTTCTGAACACTAAACACAAGTTGTTGGACAGCCCCGGCCTATTGGATTACGCCAGATTCCACATATTTCTTTGAATAAGATCAACTGGGACAAAAATGTTTGGATTTGGTGGATAATTGAAATCTAAATGCAGGGAAATTATTGGCTCTTCAGAACTATGCCTAGCAGACGTATTCTGGCTCTGACTGTATGAAAAGTTGCTCGCAGTCGCTGCCGTCAGGTTTCAGACCTGTTTTCCACCATGGAATGCACAAAATTTGTCAGCATTGCTCGACATCGGTCGTCGGCCACCATAACGATATAGCCTTCCTCTTCGTCGGAAAAAAACTTTTTTTTGATCAATATGGAAGGAGTGCTGTTGCAACTTCCGTGAAGTAAACTTCAGTTCAGTTTTATCAAGAAAAGGTAGGCAAACGCCTTTAAGTCTCCCTTTGTTAACAGAGTAGCTAAGAAATGCAGCAATCAAGCAGAGAAATTAAAAAAAGAATTCGTTTGTATAATTGCACGACCCAGGCGATCAGACGCTGTTTACCCCTAAAGAATAAGCATACATGGCTACTCACTTATTACGAGTAATATGACTATATGACTATATGTATCTTACGGGAATGGTATAAAAAGGTATGTTATGGTTAGTTCATACCACAGGAAAGAAAAAAATGAATAAAAAATACAGAATATAATAAGAAATACCTACTTAAATAAACAAAACAAAAATACAACGAATAGGAAACAAAACTGCGCAAAAGTACTTGCAAAGATGCCCGCAAATATGCCGAAATTTAGAGATTAAAATAAAAATGCACAGGAAAGGGTTTCCTCTCATTTTATAAAACTCACAATATTTTCTAATGCGTTTGGAGAGGTATTGTAGTATGATAAGCCGAAGAGCAAGCATATTTTGTTTAAACTATTACCCCGCCAGCACACGCCCAAAACAACAGTCAGGACAGTCTATGTAAACTGTTGAGAAGTGATCCGTTTTTTTAAGGCTTATCTGCTATAGGTGATAGAGAGAGCTTTACTACTCAGCTTGAGGTCGAGATCGTGGACGTTTTTTGGCATGAATTATCGACTAGAATCTCGTTTCTGCACTCACCAGAGATGAAGCCTTTGATCGACCTTTCCCAGATACGAAGCTGTAGTTATTTCTCACCCAACACGCTTTTTGCCGGAGGTGGCGCACTTTGGACAACAAGCAAACGGCCCAAAGACGGTACTAACAGAAGTGCTGGAAGTGCTGCGATTCTATGCGTACATTTCATAGGTTGAGTGGATCACGTCCTATTTGCGTCAGAATGTCCGGCTGAATTTTAGAAATACTTTAGTCTGCGCGCGCATCCAATAAATCCGAAATAGACTGCACAGTTTGATAAACAGCCGATAATATAGTTAATTACTAGCAACGATTTGGCGGACTATGGTGCCCACTGTGTCGGCATCACTGCTCCATTTCATACATTATCCACACTGAAGGCGACGAAGAGCATTCACAGCAAGGCCTTTTGAAGTAGAACAGTGATCAAATCACTGGTTCTTACCGTTCATTGCGAACTGAAGCGAATCCCTAAAACTCGGCGAAACCACAAAACAGAACCACATTTTTTGCAATGAGTTATCATGATAGACGGTGGTCGCTCTGACGTAATAGTATATTCAAACCCTCACATTTTCAGGCTGGCATCAGTTCAGTTTTTTTCATTTTCAGTTCCTGTTTCTTTGACGAAGACTACTTTTTAGAAACCTTTCGATAAATTTTTACAGGCGCAAACGAAGTAAAAATCCAGGACTTGGAATCTTGAATTAGTAAAATCTACAATATTATCATAAGAGATCTAAGTCGTGCAGCTAAGTCCTTCAAAGTGTATAGGATTCGATGAAGGCTTTGTGCACACAGATTTCCCCTAAGAGTTTGGCAGGGTTCCACATGAACTACTTTGCCAAACCGATCGCTTTTGGCACCAGAGAGAAGATCATGACCACGTTAGGGTATTCCTGGTTGTTTGAAGACAACCAGTCCTTATCGGATAAGAGAACGTTGAGTAGGTTGACAGGATTAGTGATGTTAATCAAGGCCCCATTATCGGACACTCACTCTTCACTCTCGATCTTAACAGCAACCATCAGTAACTTAACTGCGTAAAATAACATGTTCCGCTGAAATTTTACTCTAATACGCCACCAAAGGTGTGAATGACTGAAATACCAGAGAACAACCATAAATGATTTTTACTCAGTGACTCCTGGATTTCAATATGTACACAAGTGACGTTCCAAATCCTCGTCCGGAAGATGATCACAATTCGCTGTTATGCAAAATTATAAAGGAATTTTTGTGCCTACCGTTTTACCATTACCAATTGAGTATTAGGTAAAGTACACGCTTGTGTTTTACTGGGCTTAAATTAAGCCCCTTAAAGCAATAAACTCAGAACCGTAGGTTCGGACTTGTCTATTTACAATTTGCTGTCATACATTGCTCTAAATTGCTCTAGAGAGGAAGACAGTAGAATTTTATTTCTTTTTAATGAATTGGTTTATTACTGTATGTCTTAGGTTTTGCTTACGAAGTCAAAAAATGTTTTTCTGACAATTGTCACTCGGCGTAAATCGTTAAGGCGTAATTTGGCTGAACTTTGCGTTGGGATTCCGTTACTGCTTTTTAATTTTAGCTTATTAGCATGGTAGTTATTTCAAATTCTCCATTTTCGGGCTGTACGTTTGCAGCCAGAAGTATTATCCATAATATTATGGCCATATTATCATGGATACTGCTACTGACTACTAACGTACAGTAACTAGGTATAATACTATAACTCGTTACAGTTATGAACATTTGCATCGACATGTTGAGTTCTGTGGTCATTGAGATGGATATGCTCTTGAATTGTTTTGTTTTCAAGATTCGAAATAGCTTTCCTCATGCCACTGTTATCGTAGCGTGTCCGGGTTTTTGACCACTTATACTTAAGAATCCGTTGTGGTCGTGTTGCCTAAAGCGTCATACCATCACTTGATCGCGTAAATTTGTCATCATACAGAGGACATGCAACCCTGGTACTAAAACCTAATCAGGTTTTTTTGTTAAGTGTTCAGTCTTTTCGGTGATGTCTGCTGTGGTTTCGCGTCTGGGGATTGTATTTACGGGCATACTTCAGTTTGTGTTTGGCCTTCTTCTGTTTAAGGCCCGGGTACCGTTGTACATCAGATATCTGATCGGGTCTTGAATAGCTTAGGGTATTCACTTTGATAGCCTACAGTGATAGATGGCTGCGCATCTATTTTCACTATAGCTGACTACAGTCCTCATCCCTACTCTTTGGGCATATGGTGGACATAATCAAAATCGATGGTCGAACTGTCAACAGTGCTCAGCCTTAGTGTGTTCAGTCACTCGTCAAGTCAGGGTAGCTCTGTCAACGCCGATCCATGTTAAATCGCGGTTTTTCTTCTTGTGGGCCGATTAAAAGCGCAATACATTCGTCATTTTAATAGAACACACAGTCATAGTGGAATATTGGAGAATTAACCGTAACAGAACTCCTGTCGGAAGCAGTAGTGTATTATTATAGTGATGAAAATGTCTTTACATATATAAAATAGATAGTCTCTGACTACCATCATCATGGCCTTACCTACCAAAAACCTGCAATTTCGAAATTCTTCTGGTGCTTTTTTACAGTAAAAGTATTTTCCTATCAGTAGTTAAAGGTTTTCATTCTATATAACGTCATGCATGCGTCCTGAAAACTCCTAATGATTAACTCTAAAAAGCTTCGTCTCACGCTCTGGTGTTGTGGAACAAACTTCTGAAAACATTTGCCCTCTTCTTATTCTAGACTATGTAACCATACTAACGGTCTAGGAAGCGAGTACATTTTGGCACCTGATTTATTAAATTTAAATGCATGACATGCATCTTAGAAATGTTTTTACCTTTTGCTTTAGTGTAATATTTTTTCATGGATCGGCACGTGAGCGGAGATACCGCCTCTGACTCCAGTCAAAAAGGTCTTGCAGATCTTAATATTGACCTCTCAGACCTCATTGATGATATGCTTGCGTTAGTTTACATGGAATCCGGTATGGTGCCTTCTAATTCTGACGCCCCTGCTAGTGTCGGGGTCGGCTGGTGGAAATGAGGCTGGAATCGCCAACGCTACCCTGGCTACTCGAATAACCCATGTGCGGGCCTCAGTTCAAAAGGCCCAAGAAGCCTGTAAGCATTTGCAGGGTTGTGATCTGGACCTTCAAGCCCAGAAAAACCTGCTCACAGCCGTTGGAACTACCTGTATAGCAAAGCGACAGCTTCTCTGTGATTTAAAACGCGAATTACAGGAACTTACTGCCCAAACTGATCCTTACTCCATGTGATTTTTGTCCTCTTTTGTATAAAATCTTTCTTCGCAGTACAACTGTTTTCCAACTGTTATCTTTTGAATATTTGTTATCGCTTACCCTGGTTTTGGAATGGAAGGTTTACAGTTATGGGTGTCATAACTTGTCAAATAGTTTAAAAGTGTGATTAATTACCTCTGTTCTAGGGTTAGCAGCTAACCGATGCGCACCGACACGACGAACTCTTCCCCCTAGCCAATCAGTATTTTAATCATGAGTCGTTCCAACTCTGCTGTCCGTTCTTTAACAGTTTTTTTTTAACATTTACTTCTTAGCAAAGGGAATCATGCGCCGCAATCTAATAGAAATTGACTGGCATTTTCAACCGAGTTTTGAACTATTAAATATTCCTTACCAGCGTAATCCAAGTTTTATTAATTAACAATAGGATGCTGGCTTTTAACTTGTCCGGCTATTAGCGTAAAAACTTTCGGAACGACTACGTAAGCCGTGTGGGTCTCGATGACTGTACACTTTTAATTCTATTCTACAACGGGTGCACGAAACTTTCAGTTCTTTACCCGGTTTGTAGGAAGCTACGTAAGTAGCATGTTCTTTTCAAAAAAAGTCATATACCGGTTTCTAAAACCCCCACTTCCTGTATATTTTTAAGCACTACCGGTATTTCCCTTGCCAACTTACCTAATTACACGCTATATATTTGTTTTAGAGCACATTTTGACGTTTTTATGACAAAATATTGCGTGGGATATAGATAATATCTTGGAAGTGCTACAAAAAATCAGCAAATATTCTGCTACATGAGCAGTCATGCAGTTTTTCAAATAGTTAGATAATTATCAACGTCAAAACCTTCTTCGGGTATCCTATTTGAAGAAACCGTTATTTTGCATTTGTTCATCCTTCCTAGGCAATATGATTGAACCAATAGGAGTCAAGGGCTGCATATAGCAGTACAGCTTTGATTAGGTACCCAACTCGAACTGTACCACAGGTCGATGTGAACTATCTTCATCGGCGATAGATTATGTACATGCCGTGGGAGCCAATTCTAGTCACCTCATATATACTCACTCATATATACTTACAATACCGCAATCAGGAATCTCGTTAAGATAAACAGGATCTTTTTTTCGAACAACCGATTCCGATTCTGCAGAGAGCAGTAGTTAAAAACCGAACGCCCGTAACCCTTTTGTTTCTGCTGATTATAGGTTAATTCAGCAGTTTGATCGTGCTTTACAAAAACTTCAGAAATTGCATGTGGTTCGGATCTAGCTAAAGAATCCTTGGGAGCTCCTTGAGAGTTGTTAAGAAGGTTCAAAGCTGGAAAAGATCTTGGAAACAATGATTGAGCTTAAGGATAAAGCTGAGGCTACAAAAACGGACTCTGGTCTGTGAGTGCTATCAAAGTAGTGTGAAATCATCGCTGCCAACGCAGACCGCTGAATTCCATGTACTGCAGTTGTAAAATCGATCAAGCCGGCGTGTATTATATAGAGATGGTGGCTACTGCCCGCTGTTACGCAGGACAGAGTGCGACTTCAAAAGTTTTTAAGATCCTTTGGAGGACAGGGAGCCCTCGCTGTTGCCTTTAGGAAGTGTTCATGGCGTTCTGGTGGTGATCTAAAAGGAACAAGCCTTGTAGCCAATGCTTACATTCCCATTGTGGTTCGTGGGAATAACCTGCTGGTCAAGACCTCACTGCCGTTACATGTAACCATTCTTGCGGGCTGTCCCTTAATTTTTTACATATCCCAAATGACGAGCACGAAGAATTGCAATAAACAAATATGAACATCGACGAGGGGGAGTAGAATTCAGAAGCCTTACAGGACATGCAAGGAGTACGTAGGATAGCATCCAATTGGCTGTACTTTCAAAGTGTTTTGCATAAGCTGAACTTAGTCCTAGTTGTAGAAAATAGTGGAGAGGAAAGGTTCGTTTTTAGCACGAAATTTGTGAGAAATATCTCTCGAGGATGTTGATCAACTGATTTAAGTCAATGAAAGATTGGGGGAATAGGATCAAGCCATTTAAGGGCATGAAATCTTGCTCTTGGCGGAATCTTCGTTGATACTAATTATTTTTATGATAGCGATATTTATGGTGAAGATAGTAATAACGAAGGGCCACCGGTTCCTTCGCTTCGTTTTGCAAGTTAAGATTCACTGAAAGATTTCTCCAATTGAAGTATTGTATCACCCGGTGTTGGTGATATCACCAGGACACGGTTATAGAGCATTTATTTTCGAATGAAACAATTCTAAGGGAGTTCTCCATAATATCAGAGGCCTGTACAGAACAGCGAACAGCGGGTGCACGACTTTTTTCCCAAATATTTCCTTTCGTCTGCTGTAAATACGAGCTTTTTATCACACGCCAGTGATGCATGTTTTCGCAGTGCAATTTATAACCGCTTGAAATGTGGTAACCAAGACCGGCAGTCTTCT